GTGCTCCATCTGTCTCCTTGCTTGACAAAAAATATAGGTTTATGCCCAAATGTTTGTGACAACGGCCAATGCATGTGCTATGTGACAGCCTTAAAACCCGTTTTTAAAAAAAACAACGTAAAGTTTTTGACTCGAGTCCAGTTTTCACGAAATGTTTACTTTTCACAAAGTGCATGTTATAGGCAGATTTTCTGTTAGTTCTTGATTTCGGTTAACGGTGTACTAACGTTTTCGTGACCATGGAGGAACCCGAAAGTTCTGTTAGTAAACCGTCGATGTCTCGTGAAAAACAGAAATAGGGATATTCTGGTAGATTGCTACGATGAAGGTCTTCTCCCAAAAAAAATTACGTCAAAGAACATCGAAATTGGAGAGGACTATGTCAAAGTGGAACTGACCCCGCCCTATACGAGGTACAGGAAGAATGGCTTCACGAAAATGCAGTGTCAGTGTTCTTTGGAAACGACTCCTCGTCCCTGCGAGTCAAAGTTAAAATTCGTCGTATTCGAATTTATGAAAACGGTTGGGCGAAAAGTGAAGCAATAAATGCTCCCCCGAAGAGGGGCATTTTTCACAAAGAAGGGTACAACTTCGTCACATATGTGGCTTCGGCCCAACAGGTCACACAATGGATGTTACGGAAAAAGGAGGACAAAATCAGCCTCCATGGCAAAACTTTTAGTTTTTTACGGTCTCCTTTCGTCCGTGGATGTTTGAAAATGAACTTTACGAATAGAGAGAGGCTCACAGGTATAAATACTTCTGGATAAGGTGTATGTATGTGTCAGTGGCTGCCTTGCCGTACGTCGCAACAACAGTCAGAAAAACGTTTGGGACAATCCTAAAGAAGTACGACACATATACAGAAGCAACGTCCCCAGAGCTGATCAATATTCGTTTTGACTTAAAACCAGAAGCATGAACCTGCTACAAACCATACTTAATTATTGATATGAAGAACGGAGGCTACATGGAGATTAAAATCGTTCACGCCCGGACATCGTGGTGTCGGGTGTGTAGGCAGTACTTTCACTCCGAAGTCGATGATGCCTGCCCGACCAAAACTAAATCGAGACTGACAGCCAAAACGAAAGGAAAGGGGGCCCAAGACCCCCAGCCAGGCGGCCCCGAGTCAGGTACAGAAGGGGGAAATAAGGTCAACAAGGGTGGTCCCTCAACCGGGGTTCAAGACTCAGGAATATCGAAGGAAAAAGGAGTGGAAGAGAAAACCTCGGGAGGGAAACCAGAACCGGAGAAGACGGATGGGAACAGTCCCCACCCAGACGAAGAAATGAAGGATGCGGGGGAGGAGTGTATAGGGAAGGAAGGTGACTCAGAAGCCGAGGCGAGGGAGGTAAGGGAAGTACGACAGAAAGGGTCGGAATGGGGGTTACCATCCCCATCCCCTACCCCTTATAAAGACTCTTTTGCACCCCACCCACCAAAACGGGATAGAAGAAGAAGCCCAAGACAAAAAAGAGAAAGGAAATCGGGGTTGTTCCAACGAAGGAATGGAGATTGAACCTGAAAGCCAAATCCGTACAGGGGGAAAAGGCCCCTGCCGACCAATTGGAAGGAAAGGAGAATGGATCCGAAAACGCAAGAAGTTTCCCCTTCCCCTAGCCCGATAAACCCCTCCCCTACCCCCCCCTCACGAAATCAGCCCCCCCTCAACAAAGAAGCAGTTTACGGTCCGAGCCCCAGGATCCCAACCGCAGGTTCAGAACACTCGCCCGCAAACACTAAACTATCCGAAGAAACGGGTCGAGTCGTGGAAATGCTAACCCACCTCCTCATAGGATCATCAAACCACATCTCAGTATATGATAATAAGTTCTACGAGGGGGCACGGTCCGAATAGGAAGCGATCACAGAAACTAGTATGTGGACTAATTCAGTCGTCGTTAATAAAAAGAGAACCCTGCGCTCCTCAAAGGATGAGGGAGCACCCTCGGACAGAGACAAGGATGAGGAAACTGATGATGACCAGGAAGAACAAGAACAAAAATTTTATTCCCCCACTGAAGGAATGTTCAACACGCCAGAGAACGGAGAAGAGAACACAGAAAAACAACAGAGGCAAATAGGAATGAGGGATCTCCCTCCGACTGAAGGAATGTTCAACACGCCAGAGAACGGAGAAGAGAACACAAAAAAACAACAGAGGCAAATAGGAATGAGGGATCTCCCTCAACCTTTTACCTTCTCCTCACCGGCGCCGATGCTCCCCCTTGCAAAAACTGCGAAGGAGCAGCCAGATCTGCATACGCAAACACCAGCCTCATCGATAAAAAGACCGAGAATCGAAGGACTATCTCGGGTAAGTACTACTAAGAGAGGACGAAGTGGGAAGAGGTTCTGAAGAGATTACACGTAGTTCCCCTATGAAAAGAGGAAGGTCTCAGACCTCCCGCCCAGCCCCACGATCCCTGGCTTTGACTGGTCCCATGCGGACGCTCTCCCGGGAAGATAAGGCAAAGGGCATGGTCCAGACTACCTTATCCCTCCTATTATCTTATATGCTCTCATGATGGTCATAAGCCCAAATTCATGACAATTATGAGAAGAGATTCATGAATCTCTGCTCCTGCCATCTATAAAGTTATGAAGCTCCCCTTCCCCAATAATGATCTGTAATATAATAAAAATTCAAATATTACAGAATTTGGGAGAAGTGGGACTGCTTTCAGAGCCAAAGACAACACGGTACCTGGTGGATCCGCCCGAAGGTGGTAAAACACGTCTGTTATTCGCTTCTGCGGACCTACATAATAAACAATAAAACCAAATGGAACGAACTAAAGTCTTAGATATATTGGGTAGAGTTATCCCATTTGTCTTCTCCTCATTCAGACACAATCCAGGCCATCAGACTCTTATCTGGTATGTCGGCACGTATAGTAGCCAAGTGGCTATCACAAACCGATAACAAATTCATCCTATTGTTAGAAGCTTTCCCTGAGACCCTACAACAAAGAAGAACAGGGACAAATTTATTTTTTTCTGTGGGGGAAATGTTCTCATCTGAGCCGCTTATGACAAGGGAGGGAGACACAGACCGCATCCAAACCCTGAGCGGTCCATCAAGCAAGGATAGTGTCGTCCCCCGTACGTCGTACGGGGGGTCTCCTTATGGCCCGTGCGTACGCACAGACGGTTCCCGTCCGAACGTGCCAAGGGCCGTTCGGGGGGTGCCAGGGGGGTTCTGAGGGCCTGGGCTGGTGGGATGGGTGTGGAGGGGCATTGCCATGTTTTTGGGAAAAAAAAAAAAAATCCACTGAAAAATGAAAAAAAAAAAGAACTGCTTGCATCTCTGCAGGGCTCAGCCTAGCAGCCTGTGGCACGGGCCAGGGCAGTTTCGGAGGGCAGGCCGGGGGTCCGGCCTGCCCTCCCCAACTGCCCTGGCCCATGCCACAGGCTGCCAGGCTGGGCCCCGCGGGGACGCAGGTAGTCCTTTTGTTTTTTTATATTTTTCAGCGGAATTTTTTTTTTTTTAAATGGGTGGAATCAGGGGCCTTGGGGGAAGGAGCCTGCCCAGATCTGCATATAAGTGAGATTGTGGGCGTCAACACCAACAGTTTGTGTTTAGGGCAACACA